AGACCAGTTGTTTGATTTTGCACTTTGGCAAGAGGTAAATATTCTGCAACGTGTAGCCTAGCTTTGTCTGAATTTGTTCCTTCATTCAGATTTTACTAAGCTCCCATTTCATTGGTTGATTCCTTGCCCTACTCATGAACACCCATGTGAGTTCCTAAGTGACCAAGGATACTGATGAGCAACAGAATTGTGTTTTTCTGTACGTTTGGTGTTTCTTGAAAATTGCAGTTGTTTTTAAGAAACAATGTTAATTGCACTCCTGGTATTTTCATTAGGGTCAGGATGTATGTCCTTTTAGGTGGCAGGTTCAACCAACATAAACGTTTCTCTGAGGCTGATGTGGCAGCTATCCAATTGCTGTTTATTAACCAAATGTGGTTTAAATAATTATTTCCGGACCCTCTGCTCTACTGCCAATTTTGTATAGCCCCTGAAACAACCACTTGGTAAGGTTTTAGTGTGAATACTGACAGTTTAGTGTGATCTAATTTTTATGCTTGAGCCAATACATTCGTAGCTGCCTTGTACACAGTTTACAATCTCCAGAGTATCAAACTTCAATGGTTAGGTCTGTTTTCCTGAAGACCTTGATTACTGATGCTGCTAATTGTTGAGAGATGACGTCTTGTGCTTTCGTGTTTTTTAAATACCTGCCTGAATCATGCTGTTGCTTTGAACCTGGCTTGCTGCCCTCTCCCTCAGTCCTTGCTTCCAGTTGTCTGCAGCTGTTCATTCAACAATGATTTGATAAACTAACAAGAATTGATTTTTTTTTTTTAATCCTTCCAAGGGGCAATGATAGATTATTAATAACTGCACAGGCTACAGCTCTCAGGTTTACTAAGTGTACATTTTACAGGCATAGTGTTGATTCGTTGAGTAAAACAAGGCCCAAGCTGTCAGGACCAGTCTCGGAGGATAAAAGAGGGAGAGAACAGCTAGTGTGGACATAAATGAGCTTGGCCATGGGCACAGTCCTGCTGTGGTGCTTTATAAAATATGGAACTTGCTCTCCATTTCCAAGAAAGTGCAAAGGGCCATGACAAAATGATCAAAGAGGAGCTAAAACTGATTGGATCAAAATCCTACAGTTACTTGGTTGTCCAAACTCAAGAACAGTCCTTTATTTGTTGAAATGAAGTTGTGTTGGTCTTAGCACCATTGTAATAGCACACTGGCTTTTCTGAACTCTCTTGTTCTAGTGATTTTGTGAAGAGCTTCCTTTTTAAAAAAAAAAAAACTGGGTGAAATGATTTGCTTGGAACTCTTTGGGGTGGAGCAGGTACTATTGATACTGAGTCATAGCCCAGGGCCAGTATGCAACAAACATGCAGTGAAAGTGGTAACCCTTTAGTGAAACCACTCCAGGATTTTCTGTTCAACTGTAATATGTATATATATTGTTCCTGATGCTGTTTCTAAAATAAAAGGATAAAACAATGACTGTTGAGGTAAAACTTTGCCTGTATGAATGTGAGCAAAATACACAGTTCTGGGAATAATGTTAATCACCAGGGCAGACTGTAAAGAGATTGTGGGTATCTCACTTCATGCAGCACCTCACATGGGAAAGGTACTTCTTGTTGGTGGTGGGGGTAGGTAAAATGTGTGCAGTGTTTTTACTTCTGGCACTAAACATCCGATCAATGAATGATTTTGTTTGCAGCTAGAATTACAGAAAGCCAGGAAATGAAGTGATGTAATGCATTGATTTCTTGTCAAATATGGTCTGGATAATAAAAAGCAACAAAACTATAAAACATTAATATATTATACATAAATATAAGGACATTAATATTTAAAATGATATTCATGACATACAAAAAAATCACATTCAATTCCTTTAGCTGATTCTCAATTACTGACTACTCTAACTGTAGGGGTATTAGCACACTCACTCTTAGAGATTTTGCAGCCTTGATTGCGTGTCTACCACCCAGTGCAACTCAAATATTTATCAGAAACTACTTAGAAAAATAGTCCAATCCAACATAGCAAGCTGTTCATCTGCTGAGCTCAGTGACAGGGACAAAAAAGTGAGCCCCTCCTCTCCGCACTCCTTCCAGCTCTGTGTCTAGGTGCAAGATGACAATTGATGCAGTTTAATTCTGTGGTCTATCTTTCTCTCCTACAGTCAGTGACTGAGTGGCAATAGTAAAAAGTCACATGTAACAGGGTTTAAATGACAAAAATATAAAAAAAGTGAGGAATCTGGCTAATATGAAGGTAAACTTTTAGTCTTCAGAAAAAAAATGATTTTCTCCTGTTTAAGGTTTGTTGGTTATATGGAAGAAACCATTAAGTTGCTCAGCATTCAACTTTAGCCCTTACTTTAATCCCACACTACTTTCCTTCCTGCTGACTCAAATATAATTATTTCTTGACATCACTTACCACAGTCCAAATCAGAGGCTGCAGAGGAATTACACTCTCTCATCAACCATTGGAATATTGTGCTATTAAAACTAAAGATGTCAATGACACGGTGAAAAATTAAAGAACTGCAGAATTACTGAAGACACACAAAATATAATCTCAAAAGGCAATGACAGATGATTGACTTTACAACCCCTCCACCCAGTCAGACCTCAAACCCTCCCTGAGGTTTTTGGTTTGTTACAAATCAAACACCTGATGGGATCGGGTTCCTAATAGAGCTGGATGTGGATGAATGGCTTGATGTATTAAGACCAATAATTATTAAATGTCTGAAATAAATACATTGCAAGCCAGCAGGTTAGGCCCAACCAGTAACAGCCTCATCTTCACAGTTACTCAGCATCTTTCAGCTACTTGCATTTTCTATACTTCCCATCCCAGGGTCTGGCTGTTTTTTGTTTATATGCACTCAAATAGCCTGTGAGAATTTCCCCATTACCTGATCTGTAGACTGGCCTCCCCATTAAATGAGGCAGCATCTTTGCAAATTGGTAACAGCCTGAACATAAACTTTTACACAGGTTGTTGAAACTAATAGTCTTTCCAAACATCCAACTTTTCAGTTCCAATGGGCAGTTAGTGGTTCTTCGTGATTCTGTTGGACATATCCAGTTTCACAGTTTGAGACATTTTGAAGGCGAGAGGAAGACTGAATTACATGGCCGATTCCTTGGTTGTGATTATTCGGTTCATTCCAAGGGTTTCCTGTTTTTAAAAGAGAAACGTATGGTGGTGATGTATGGGTTAACTCACCTTTGACGCTGATTCAATTTTGTAAAATGAAGTTACTCATTTAAGGCCAGGAAAGTAAAATTCTTAATCAGAATGGATAGCCATTTGCAGCGTCACCAGTTGTTCATAAATTAATGATGAAATTTGAGATTTCAGAAATTTTCAGCACTCCCACAGCATAGTCTTTCCTAGAGTACAGTCTCGGAGTGCGCAGGACAACCTCAACACCTTTTCTTTGATACTCTGGCAACCCTCAGTACAATCCATCCAACAATGCTTGGCTCCCTCTGCAATGTGTTGCACATTCAACCATGAAAGTGTTTGATACTTTGTTCCTACTCCTAGCTCTTTATCACACTGTTGTTCTCAACCTCAATTGCATGTGCTGACTGATTTTTATTTGTGGCCTCAGTGTTTGAGTGTCTCATGGCAGTCAGGTCAACCTTTGTTGTGGAAGCACTAAATCTGGGTGATTTATTAAGCCATTTTGATTAGCATTGGATTTGATTTTCTAAGGCTAAACAGAAGCAGAAAAAGTCCTGACAAAAGTTTAAAATAGTTTGCACTTTTCAAGAGGCTTTGAAAATTAGAGTGAAAACTGGCCTAGGCTCAAGTCCCATGGCAGCAGAGTGAGGTTTGGAACATCCCTCAACTTCACATTTAAGACAATTTTTGTGAGGTACCCAGCTGCCACTTTCAGGAACAGTGACTTATTTGTAATGGTGCTACAGCTAACTTGGCATGGGTCATTGTGTCTTAGGAATCCAGAGTATGCAGACAGAAAAACGTGGCAAAATTTTATGTGGGCATTTCATTAGGACACTGCCTTTGAGTACTTCTCAATCTCACAGTTCACCTCCTATAATGGAGAATATGTATGGAACTATTTCAATGTCCAAGTACTCAGACGACATATCACAGTGGCTTATTCCCAGGACACTCATCTAAAAACGTATTGCTGTGGCAGAGATTCATTTTAGCCTTGGGCATAGGCTGCTGATCCATGAATCACAGGCTATTCAGCCCATTAGGTCTGCGTTGGCTGTTAGAAAAATGGAAACTTAATCCTTTAATTGCAATGCCTAACAAAGGCCTCTTTAGTTTGAATTTGATGGAATCAGATTCGAAAGTAACAAAAGAAATTGGAGAATTTGCTTGAAGGGAAACAAAGTACAGGATTACAAGGGGATAGCAAGGAAATTAATTCATTGGATAAGTTATCCAAGAACCAACCCAGGCACAAAGGTTGGAATGGCCTCCCACTACATTGCAAAAAATACAATGGCTTCCACAAGAACTACTTTGTGCAATACATACCGCAGTCCAATAACAACTAATTTTTCCTAGCATGGTGAAACTATGGTGGAACCCAATGATTTGAGGATAATAGGTTACCGAAAAGTCAACAATGATTTTAGATGAATGCCTCCTTTGGATCAGGTATCCAGGAACTGAGAACCAAAACATGTTTACATGAACCTCACAACTGAATCAAGGAACAGACTACACGTCACCTTCCTGCCATTGAGGATTTCATCTGTGGACTTTGACCGGATACGACTGAAGTGCAGTGCTGCTGATTCCACACACTTCTGAAATTGTAAAGAACATTGGGTGTGAGGCTGGCACTGTGGTTTGAAAAACTACTACTCTATCAGCTTCACTAATCACTGACCAACTGCTGGTGAGAAAGTTCAACATATTGTCCTCTCTAGTCTCGAGTGCATTCCAGAGACATAGGTTATGATTAATTACACGCTGTAAGAACACTTTTCACATATGCTATCTAGAAGGTATCCAGCACCAAGGCACTACTCTGGCCTTCTCTGCTATCCACAGAACCTTTATTCAGTCCAGCAGTGAACTGAACCTATCTTTGTTCTTTTCAACACAAGCTTTCAGTACTTGTGATTAAAAAGAAAACAAACATCAGATTACAAACCAGAAAATAACAGAGTGCATTGCAGGGGTGCAGAATCTCACCTGCTCGAGGTTCTCCACATCATCCACTTGAGGGTATCCATGGCTTTCAGTCACTTTATCTGGTGTTGGGTTTTTGCTTTTTCTTTCAGAGATATGCTGACCACCCAAAACTTTACGCTGTGGGAAACAAACAACCTTTAGTATGATTTGAACATTGACACCAGGGCCCCTGTAAGAGTCTTTATCTGCCTCTTGCTGCAGACATATTTGATGATCTTCACAAAGTATGTGACAGGACATACAATCACTAGTACATAACTGACCCCATACTCAGGAAATGCACATGCCCATTCAAATTCCTTTACCATAAAAAAAACCACAACCGCTGAACACATTAGTGAATTCCTCAGTTTTAAGCCTTGCTTAAGTGCTCAAGCAGTGCTTTTTTTAAACAATAATCTGGAGAAGTGCGCTTTATTAGCAACTCACTGCAATTTCAGAGTAAAAACTTCTGCAAGTATGCATTGCTCAATAAACAGGACAAATCCATACTGGCCAATTACTACCCCATCAGTCTACTCAGTCATCGACAATGTGGTGAAAGCTCTCATTGGTAAGCTCCATTTGATGACAACTCTCAATCAGTTTACATATATTCAGTTTGTGTTCAGCTCCAGACCTCATTTATAGCTTTCGTTTAAATATAGATAAAAATAAAGAGCTAATTATAGAGGTGAGATGTGACATTGGACTGATTATGATATTAAGGAACCTAAACAAAGCTGATTAATGGGAATCAAAACTTGGGAGTCGGAAGAGAGGGAGGTAGAGGAACAAGGAGCCTAATACAAAGAAAGATTGTTGTGGTTGCTAGAGACCAATGTGGATGTATCTATACGACATGGCATCCTGCATTTCAAGGTGGCGACTCACCATTATTTACTCAAGAGCAATAGGAATGGGCAACGAATGCTGGTCTTACCAGTGATACTCAAGTTCCACAAAAGAATAAAAAGGAAATCTTAGCCCTAGCACATTGGTGCAGGAGTTCCTCAGGGTGCTGTCATTGGTTGAACCACCTCATCAGTCACTATTCATCAATACTTCCATTATAGGTCAGAATGTTCGCTGGTGATTGTAGTATTTAGCTCCATTCACAGCTTCTCAGATAATTCATAGTTTCCAATATTGCAAGACACAGATAATATTCAGGCTTGGGCTTAAGTGTAGGGTGCGTGTTACATGCCAGTTGATAAATTTTGGGTAGAGTCGAAAGTCAAAGGCTTTAGAGAGTGCTCAGAGGGAGAGGACCCCAGGGGTTTTGCATGGATCTTTGAAGAGGTGGGACATACTGAAAGAGCAGTGGTGGACAAGAGCAGTGAATTGATGCTGGACTTTTCTAAAGCTCTAGTTAAGGCCCAACTTGAGTTTGGGGCCCAGTTCTGGTCACCAAGAAGGATGTGAGGACCCTCAAGAGGGTGCAGGTAATTTGTCAGAATAGTTCAGGGATAAGGTGTTTTAGTTGGAAGGTTAGGTTGGGGAAGCTGGTGTTGTACTTTGAGCAAAAAATTAAGGGGAAATTTGATAAAGTGTATAATATTAAGAACAATGTAGACAAAGAAAATCTATTGTCCCTATGTGAAGGTACAAAACTGGGATACACAGATATTGGGCAGAAGGTGCAGGGGGAACTTGAGGAAAAACTGTTTTTACACAAGTGTTCATGATCTGGAACTTGATACAAAAGTGATGGAATCAAAAACAAATGAATGATTTTAAACTGAAACTGGATAGACACTTGAGGAAAATAAACTTCCAAGGTTGTGGGAATAGAGTTAGAGTGGGACTGATTGAATTACTTTAGAGACCCAACAAGGACTCACTAAGTGAAAGCTTTCTTCTGTGTCTTATTGACTCTACGGCTTCTTTGGCAGTCTTCTAACTTATAAGATGATGACTTGCACTGTGATCGTCAACTCTGTCATTGCAGTTTCTGCCATATTAGCTGCTCAAGATAAACACAATGGGTTGCGAAGGTGAATGTTTCACAGGGTTCTGTTTTCTCTAGGGCCTCTTCTCAGCCAATTGAGCTTTTCACTTTTGCTCATAACTGTTGTTAGTGTCAATATCCACCATCCTCATATCTAGCTTGCAGCTGTCCTTGTAGTGGAGGAACAGAGATCTAGAAGGTCACGTGTCAATGGCCAACTATCCTCCAGTGATATTCTGGGGCTGAGATGATTGGCGCCCAATAATTGTAGTCATGTTCCTTTGTGTTATGCATGGCTCCAACCAGCAGACAATTTTCTCCTTGATTTCCATCCACTCCAGTTTAGCTAGGATTTCTTGGTGCCATACTGTTAAATGTCACCTTTTTGTCAAAGCCAGACACTCTCACATCCCCTCTAAGAATTAAGCTCTTTCACCAATGTTTGAACCAAGGTTGCAATAAGGCCAGAAGCTGAGTGGTCCTGGCATAGCCCAAACTGGGCAGGTTGTTGCACAATTGCACTGAACACAAGTTTCCATTCACCTTGCTGATGACGTGTAAACTGACTGGGTGACAGCTGAATGGATGGTTGACAGAGAATATTCTGCTGAGATTTCTAAGCCCAGCATTATCCATACATGATATGTTCACAAGAACATAAGCAGATTTCAACATGAGCCATGCCCTACCACATGCAAGCAGTTGCACACTTGTTCTTTTTCATCTTTTGGTTAGAGGAGCTGTATTTCAATCTCAGATTTACTAATCAAGCGTGATGACCTTCTTACCTTAATGCGACCGCCAAAAGACTTGGAGCGCATGTGTTTCTTGGGTTTCGGTGAAATGAATCCTTCAGGAGTACCAGCCACTGAGCTTTTATGAAACTAGAAGAGGACAAGGAAAGAAGATTGCATAAAATGCAGAACATACAAGATTCCACAGTAAATATTGTTTACTGGGACTCAGCGAGGGATATGACACTTTTGTGTTATGTCCTTGCTTGGTGGTCAGTCCTGTCAGTCAGAGTAGGATTTGATTGTTTGACTCTGAGCCTGCTCCACTGTTCAATATGATCAGGGCTGATCTGCTTTATCTTTACGTTTCTGCCCATTCCATAGATCCTTTGAAAGATTAAAAATCTGTCCAAGTCTTAGATGTACCCAACAATGGAGCATCCACAATCTTTTGTGACATTGGTTCTAAAAAGGTGATCTGCAAATTATTTGTGGCCCTTTGGCTGATCTTAAAAACAAGGTTGATACACAACACCACTCAAATATGTCAGCTGAGCCAGACTAGCTTCCGTGTGTAGGGCATGATTCGTCAACAGTGCGAGCAGCAACAATTTAGTTTCATAAAAAGATTATGTTACTGTCATACGTTATTGCAAAATACACATTTTCAACTCTTGTGGAGCTGAAAGCAAAGGACTGGATGATTGAATTTTGACTCCAACATGATTCTGAAGCTTGCAAGCTTGGTATCAGGCATCATCTCATCCAAAGCAGTACTGTTCTTCCCATTATTTTTGGTTTTTATGTGGTGACAAGCAAAAGGAGTTGGGTAACACCAGAATGTGGTTTGCAGGTCTTTTATCCGACATAAACAGTTCGCAGACAAACAGTCTGGGAACCACTGCTGAGTGAAGAGATTCCTCAGTCTGCAAGACACAAGCAGGGATTTTCTTTCCGTTTTCCAGCGTTCTACAATTTTGTCTATTTTAACAGATTAATCCATTGCAATTGGAGGAGGATTCGCTAGGGGACTCACATGACATAGCAGGAGAGGCAAAGATCGGTATTACCTTTAGCAGTCTGAATGCGAGCAGCTTCAGGATCCAGGAATGAGGGTAGGTTGATATCAAACAAAACATTTGGACACTGGGCCATAGTCATTTCAATGGGGCTATCTGCATTTGGAGTCAGGAGTAACAAAGATTTTAGATTTTATAATGTGTTCTTATGTCTCCTACACTCTAGGATACCACAGAGAGCCAACTTGCAATAGTGTACAAATTCAATCTTGTTGCATGAACTAACAAGGAGTATTTTGTTGTATACTGTGTATAAAGTCCATTCCTGTCCTCACAATCACTGATGCACATTTTCCACAGGAAATGTTAAGGAGATGAGGCCCCACTCCTTTACCCAAAACCTAAATTCACCTGGTCAACTAGCTAACCTAGCACAGGGAATAGCAGCTGATTGAGCCCACTAATGCCTGTGCTTTCGTGACTTGAACAGCTGACTAGATGAAACTGTAGCAGGAACAGCAGCAGCTTCTTCCCACATCCTTACCTGTCTCACAAGTTTTCTCTTCTTGGCAGAGTTGGGCATATTGCTGACATGTTTAAAGAGTTCCTTTAGGGCCTCCTCTGTATGCTGCTGCGTTTCCTCCTTGAGTCTTGAAACTGAATGCAACCCACTCCGCTTTGCACTTTTCATAATGAGCAAATCCGGGCAATCTTGAGCTGGCAATAAATCCAGATCATCCTGAATAGAAAAAGTATTCTAAAGAGTATTGAAAGCAAAATACAGGAGGCAAAGGGCTAACATAATCTTGTAAAACATATATAATATTTATAAATATATAGAACACAGGAACTCATTCAGCACACCTATCCCATTCATTCCACAACACTGGTACAGTCTCCTAAATCATACATTCCACTGAGTTATTTAAATACTTCCTATAGCCCATACATAGATTCATACAGCATGGAAACAGAACCTTCGGTCCATCCAGTCCATGATGACCATAATCCCAAACTGAACTAGTCCCACCTGTCTGCTGCTGGCCCATATCCCTCCAAACCTTTCCTGTTCATGTTCTTATCCAAATGTCTTTTAAACGTTGTAATTGTAACCACATCCACCACTTCCTCTGGAAGTTCATTTCACACATGAACCATCCTCTGTGTGAAAAATTTGCCCCTTATATCTTTTGTAAATCTCTCTCATCATAGTTTCACTGTTATAGACTAACTGTTCTTTTAAACTGCTACCATGACTTAAAGATCTGGATAAATAGAGATACCTCATCAGTCCAAAAAACTTAAATCTGTGGAAACATGAGTTCAAGCATTAAGGCACAAAAATGGCAATAAGTTATGATACTCATTTGGAAAACTGGTAGAGACACAAGGGCCAAATGGCCTCTTTCTGCACCGTAAAATTCTGTGATAAAGGGTACAATTCTAAAAAGAGTGCAGAAATAGAGGAATCTGGGGATATGCGTGAACGCAATATTTAAGGTCATCCAGCAGATTGAGACAGCTGTTATAAAACATCTTGCTCTTTTATACGTTAAGAGTACAAAAGCATGGACATTACATTCAACCTAAATAAAATGCTAATTCAGCCTGAACTCGAGTACTGTCCCCAGTTCTGAACACCACATTTTAGGAAGGTGTGAAGGCATTAGGGAGGGTGCAGAAAAAGGTTATGAGAATTGTTTCAGGGATGAAACTTCAGTTACGTAGATAGATTGGAGAAGCTGGGCTTGTTCTCCTTCGAAAAGGGAGGATTGAAAGGAGATTCGATAGAAGTGTCAAAATCAGGAAGAGTTGGGACAAAATAAATAAAGAGGAACTGTCAATTGCCAGAAGGGTTGAGAACCAGATGACATAGATTTAAGATGAATGGCGAAAAAAAGTTAACATGAAAAGAATTTTTATTCAGCAAATTGTTAGGATCTGAAATGCCTGCCTGTGGTGGAGGCAGGACCAATCATTCCTGTCTTGCTGTCAAAACAGTTAATATTAAAAAAAAACTACAATATGGGGAAGACATGGGGAGTGGATTAGCTAAATTGTTCTTAAAGAGACACAATCAGCCAAATGACCTTCTGCTGTACTGTAACCACTCTATGATTTCAGGTGACTGCCACTGTGCCCAACTGCTAACTTGGTAGTGCTAGCTTTAGTCCATTTCAGGTTCTTACAAATAATAAGAAATTATGACTTCTTACTCTGATCATTGAAAGTTTTGATCCTGTGAACTGCAATCTGGCAAGTTCTCGAATATATGCTGGTGCCTGCATAGACAGAAGAGATCAGAATACAATCCTGACATTAATTGTAAGACTTAAATCAACAAACCATCTCTTTATGATCTGAATCCATAGCCCTTTCATATCCAGAACCTGTGTAGATTTAATGGCCAGATCGTGAACCACTACAATTATGGGATCAAGTAAATCCAGCACGGAGATCTTCAGAATCCTGGCCGACATCGGGTTTGCTGACTTACAGCTTTCTACTCTCATTTTCTTCAGGTTCACTCTAACTGTGTAAAAGTATGCATTTTCAAAACAGCAACAAAAGACATTAATAGTATTAGTTTATCTTTTAGTGAAAACTGTGTTTCTGCTTTTGACTCTGACCACAGCAATCACTCCCTTCAGGGACCACTCAACCTTAAGCTCTCCACAAAATAGGCTTGGGCTCACTGCCCACTCCCCAAACATAGTACCTGCTCCCATACTGTTGTCCCTCTTCAGCACTGATAACCCTCCCTGGGCAGACCACCTCCATGTTGACCTCCCTTCCATGCACTGATATCCATTTTCCAAAATTCATCCTCCAAACCTGTGCTGACACTCCTTCCCCGGCACTGAAATTCTTTCCCCCATGCTAACCCTCCCACACACTGTTCCAATTCTTGACAGAATCTGAACTTTTTTTTACCCGGAAAAGCTTCTGAGAGTGTTTAATTAGAAATGCTGTGCTGTTATTCAGTTTGGTGATGTTTTCTTGAAGGTCTGCAGCCATCAACTGTTAAGAGGAGAAAAAGAACCAAATCAAATCAGCAGGCAATGACAGATAAAAGCAAAGGACCGATACAATAAACAGCTTTAAATTCAAGTTGGAAACAGCTGGTCTTGTACTCCATGTGACATTTTTTTCCCCCACACTCTGATCTTTGAAACTTTGCTGGGCTAATGGTTAGTTAGAGACAATAAATATGGATTTATGAAGAGTCATTGAGATGATCTAATGTCACTGAGTTAGTTTGTAGGATATTTGTTTTATTTTCTTAACATATTAGATGAGCTTGACCATAGGAGACTTAGATTAGGTACTACTGATAAAAATAATTAGACTGTATGAAAGAGAATCAAATGAAAGCTAATGCTTAATACAGCAAAGAAGAGGTCCACTTACATTCCTGGGCCAGAGAATGTGTGGAGCAAACATAAGTGCCAGGTTGTAGGCAGACATCTTGTTCTTTTCCTGCAGTTTGGCAGTTTGATAAAGAAGATCCAATAGTAACTTCAGCAGGTTCCGATTGGCTGAAGGCAACAACAGGAAGAGTAGCTGAAGAGCTTCAATCTGACGCTCCTTGTCAGGAACAGTCTTCTTCCCTTTCATATCAAACACCATTAGATCTAATAGGAGATATGACATCAAACACAGATATCCATAACTAAACACCAAAAACACACAACTGCACCTCCCAGTCGCGAACCATTTCAACTCCCCCTCCCATTCCTCAGACGACATGTCCATCCTGGGCCTCCTGCAGTGCCACAACGATGCCACCCGAAGGTTGCAGGAACAGCAACTCATATTCCGCTTGGGAACCCTGCAGCCCAATGGTATCAATGTGGATTTCACAAGTTTCAAAATCTCCCCTCCCCCCACCGCATCCCAAAACCAGTCCAGCTCGTCCCTGCCTCCCTAACCTGTTCTTCCTCCCACCTATCCCCTCCTCCCACCTCAAGCCGCACCTCCATCTCCTACCGACCAACCTCATCCCGCCCCCTTGACCTGTCCGTCCTCCCTGGACTGACCTATCCCCTTCCTAACTCCCTACCTACACTCACCTTT